CTATGCGTCTAAGATTGGATGGAAATTTGAGCTTTCACAGCTAAGAACTCATTTAATAACTTAACATTCGAGAATTCATGTCTTGTGGATATTTAAAGCAGTTCTTCAGCTTCCTGTAAAAAAATTAACAGTCAACAACTGCAAACACTGCTGCTGACTTTTGAAAAAGTAGCCACTCATCTGGCCCACGATTCAGCGATGTCCTCACTCCAGCCATTCTTTCCAGCTGTGTCCTGTCCCAGGCTCCAGAATCTCAACTGTGGGCACCCAGCTGTGACAGCTTGCGGCTTCACAGCCAGGTGCCCACTGTACATGTGCTAGTAGTGCTGCGGATTGTGAATGGTCCAGCAGTATTCTGGGACTTGTCATGTGTCCTTGAAAACTGGGGGGAGGGAGGGAGGAAGGAGAACGTCCACTTTTGATTGCCTAAGTGATCAGCACTCCCATTTCTTTACCAGGAGTAAGGGAGCAGGCCTTAAAGCAGAACTCCCCCTTTTGACTGGAGCTCCACTTTAACTCATTATATATATATAAATGTATATATGCATCTAACTACACTTCTTTTTGCTTTCAGGGATCTGGACAAGAGGGTATGATGTTACATGTTTGGTGGTCATGCCCCAGGGCACAAAAGCTATGGATTTGGGTTTACTCATATATACAGTTCCTTTTTGTAATTTATGCTTCATTTCATTTGATACCCAAGAGAAATCTCTTAAAATCTGGTCCCAATGGATAGCCTACTCCCAATCTAACCTAAGAACCTTGAAAATATAGGTATAAACATATAATTGGTTGTTCCCCCATTAATAGGAGATCTTCCCTATCCCTTTATTACCTCAGCCCCCCATACATCCCTACCTTTTCCCTTCTTGCTTGCTTGCTCTTTTTGTTTTCTTTTTCATATTTTTTTCACACATACATTCTTTTCCTTGGTCTTCCTACATTCTCTTTGGGTAGTGTAGATATAGTAAATGCACTTTCCAACCAACTCACTCGCTTTAAAAATCCATCCTTTAACATGCTTAATAGGTACAGGTGAATATGTTTCATCTTGCACAAGCCTATGCTAAAATGTCCTTGGGTGGGACAGAGCTGGTATATTGGATTGGCCCAATATTGTATATAGCAAATTACCCAGATACCCTGTTTATCTGTGCCTTATTATAATTGTTCTGTGAACTTTGACTCAATATTGCACTGTTGAACTGAATGCATACACATGTTGGTTATAGTTTTAATAAAAACCATTGAACAAGTAATTGTTAAAAATACTGATAAATTAGTAGAGGCCTGTAACCAAGCAGTATATGCTGTGAATAAACTGAAATATGCATTGAATAAACAAACCTTTTTTTAACCCAAATATAATTAGATTAAAAGACAGACTACATCATACATTTCTATCTATGGTCATATTCGATCATTCAAATGTGTTGATGGTTTTGTTCAATTATACACTGGGAATTTCTGGAGAAGACAAGATGAAGCTTTTTTCCTTTAAAAAAAAAAAATCATCTTGAACATAGTGGTAACTAATTTTAGCTGTCAATGTCAATTCAAACGTCAATTTCAATCACCTTGTTGGTAATTATGATTTTTGTACACTTTTCTTTCAGTTGAGTAAGTGGCTTCCAGCATTTGCTGTATTTCTCTGAAGTGAATCAGCGGGGGCTTCTAAACTAGGGAGCAACAGTTATCTCAGTTGGCTCCCTTACATACAGCTTTAAAACATGTCTTCCACAAGTCATTCAGCATCCTTGCTCATTATTGTTAAAAATATAAATGAAGTAAAGTGACAAGGAAAGTGTCAGGGAAAGTGTTTTAAAGGACTCTTTTCTTATATATATTATCTTTCAGTGTAAAGGGTTAATTCCATCTTGCCAGTAAATTATTCATTCCCTGCTGTCAGTTAATGAAATCTTTTCTTCTGAACACAAATTGTTATCACAAAGATTCCTCCTACACTCACAAATTGTCATGTTTAAATTGATGTAGAGAGTGTAGGTGTGCAGCACATTAGCAATCTTTCTAAAGACTGCAGTGTAGAAAGTGACTATATTGAAAATTCACCTGATTTTCATTTCTCAATTAATTTTCTATCATTAAATCAATTAAAGGTTATAGTTCTTGGTAGAAAAAAACAGCCTTCAAAGACTTTATACTGTGAAAAACACAATGTACAGTTTATAATAAGATAAAAAAAATTAGATCAAGACATATTATTAATAAATCAAAAATAAATAAATCAGAAAAAAAACCCATAGAAACAAATGGACCAAATGTTTTGCTTTGTTATAGCAGGAGCATTACAAACTCTTTTAATCCTATGTGCAGATGCTACTACAGATCAGTTATGTAGAGTTTGAAGATACCCAGATAAGCTGATACAAATGGAAGACAATTGTCTGATTTCAATAGGGTGCATTAAACTGCCTGAATAAAAGAAGGCAGATATAGATTCCTCTGAAGTCTTCATTACATATCTTATGACATGCCTTCTTTCTCAGCAGTAGAAATAAACCAGAAAATCTGTCTAGATTGGGGCTCCACTTAAATGATTTGTTTTCTTGCAAATATGTTCAAACTTTTGGTTGCTATTTTTATGGTTTGAGCTAATCATTTTGATTCCCCAGGTAAACTCAGCCTTAAGAAAGAGGTTTACACCTCAAAATCTATTTCCTGCTTCCCTTGGTCACTCACATAACACAGCCTTCACCCATTCCTTAGGAAGCAGCAATCAGGAGAACTGGATGCTTCTGCCTAAACCAAGACTGAAACAGCAAATCTGCTATGCAGCAGTGACTTCAGCAAGAATATCTCCCCAGCCCCAACATTGTCCATGGCATGCAGGCTACAGTTACACTTTCTCCCCTGAGCTGATATGCCCTATACAAGCAAATAAAAAGTGATTTGCCATCTTGATATTTTATTTAATATTAGCTGGTTTTCTTGCATGAAAATTGTGCACACTTTTTGTTGATTTCTTGTTATTTTCAGTCTGTGGATACCTTCCATCTGGACTGGAGCTGTAGGATCTAAGTGTTTTCTCTTTTTTGTAAACTATTTCTATCCTGCACATACCAGCCACTGATGCCCTACTGCTTCCCAAGAGTACAGCTTCCACAGTACTGTGCACTTTTTCTTGCTTTTTTTCATTTGAACTATAAAAACCATTTTGACCAACTTTTTAAATTAATGATTTGGTAAATTGCATGTTTGCATCTTTTGCTTTACTTCACTGTGAATGTGGCAAGAGGTCCTCAAAAACAAAACAAAAAAACAGAAAGCACTAACAGATCAGCAGGTTACAATTTGGTGAAAGCATTATTATTTTATAATTATATTTTATATATTATATTTTAAACACATTACGGTTTTTTTCTTGAGTGCAACAGATACTTTCTTTTTTGTGCTTATTAGAAGTAAATGAAACATTTCTTTCCATTTCAAGTAGATCAAAAGTGTCATTGTTGCATGTCTCCATCATGTTCAATTTTTCTTGGATTAGGGCAGTGGTTCTCAACCTTTTTTCAGTCAAGGCACCCTTTAAAATTTGGCACCCCAGTCTAAAAAGTTAAAAAAGAAACTAATAGTTTTACATAATGCAGAAGCATCCATTCATGTTGGTCACCCAACGTTAAAAGTTATTTTTTTTCAGAGTAAACCTACCTTAGCTTGCACACTGGTGCTGATTAGTAGTTGCAATGTTTTTCCTCTCCCTCACTCAGCTAATGTGACCCCAATGAAAACAGAGAGGGGCAGGAAAGGGGTGAACAAGGATGGTGTGCAGACAATGACGTCCCTCCTATTAACTAATGAGGTAATTGGTTGTTAAGACTATAATTTTAGAATGGTGCACTATGAAAACCTGTGTCTTTGTGTACCTAAAAAGGTAGGCTTCATCCACCTGCTGGCTTGTACACAATTTTGGGGCAAATTTTAGGCATTTTGCCAAAGCACCCCTGAAAAAACCTGAAGGCACCCTTGTTGAAAAAAGTTGGATTAGAGGAGTAAAGACTGTTCACTTAGCAAAATCAATGTTCACTGATTTCAATCAGTAAGGTGAAGCTGTGTTTCAACTAATAATGTTTCTCGCAAATGACTATAGTGAATACACAATAAAAAATAATAAAAAGTGTGGCGCTGCCTAACTAAAAGACAATAATCCAAATGCAAATAAAATAACCAAACAAATATAACAAACATCAAATGAATAAAGTCTGTAATAAAGTAGAATGTCCGTGATAAAGCAAAAATTTGTGATAAAGTTTTTAGCTGTGTTGAAATCCATACACGTGCTTCCCCATTAAATTAATGAAATCAAACTCCATGTGAACGTTAATTATTCAAACATATTGAATCTTCTTGAAAATTACCACAGTGCTCATAGATGGCCTCTTACCTCATAATAAGACCTGACAGATCTCAAATTGTTCATAGACAGTAGACTTAAACTGTTCCACAGATGAATTCCTCTGATCCAAGTAAATCACCAGCCACAGATCATGCGATACACTCACACAGATCTTAATAGCAATATGGGGTCAAACCACTAATTGCCTCAACAGCTGCACAAGCACATCTTTCCAATCATGGAAACAAATAATGATCACCACTCTAAATGCACTCACTACACGGGGCCGCTCCAAGTAACAGTAATTCTGTGCAGCTTTGCAGCTGTCGAGGTTGGTCTGTGCTGGGAAAGGAATCTTTACTGAGGGGTTTGTACTGGGGGTCTCTACTGAGGGGGTAGACTGAGTTATTTAAGAATGTTAGGGGAGATCTGTACTGTGGGGGATATGGACAGGTGATTTGTGCTTGAAAGAGGGGGTAATTTTGGTTGTACACTGTAAAGTGGCTAGTATGTTAGACACTCATGACCCTTTGGCACTGAGGGAAATTTTCATTTTCAAAGCTTAAAGTGTTACTAAACCCAGGACCCTGCATTCACTATGTCTGGTCTCCTACAAGACACAGAACATGGAAGTGCAATTATTTTAGTAAATATAAACTGCTAAATACCTTTTCTCATCAGACGTTAGAGCAATCTGTGGCTTCTATCAGTGCTCAGCCAAGCACTAGCTAAAGCTTGTAGGAGTTTTCTTTCTGTTCTAGGAGGATGCAAAACCCATGACCTCTGTCTGGACAGTGCTGATTGGCCATGTGCTGATCACATGCACTCTCCCAAGAAAAAAAACCTCTCTAGAAATACACACCGAACTGAGCATATGCCTTCCGTTCAGTCTGTCTTATCAGGAGATAAGAGGTGGTCGCTTAAACAAGGGGAGGAACGGAGCAAAAGATTCTCTTTGTCCAATTTTAATTTCCACGTGCTTTACTTTTCATACTTGTGACTACTGCACTCTAAGTACATTACATTCTTCTGTAAAGTAGGCTATGTGTAGAAAAGCATATGTAATGGAACAGTTTTATGTGTCTTTGCAACCCTGCCTTCTTGGTCCTCTTGCAGTTTGATTGTGGTGTGAAAAGGTTGCTCTGCTAGCTGTTTGCCTTATATTAACTTCTGATTGATTAATTGGAATATTCCACACCCACCCACCATGGTATAAATCTAGATCACCTTTATGGGGTAAGCACATGCTGGGGGGGCACATGATAGGGTAGTGCATGTTGGGGTATTTCCAATAAAGTGGGGTTCATTAATTAAGTGGCACTTCCACTTTTACACTTTAATGATTGCTCAAAGTGAAAATCTACAGCAAACTACTTTTCAAAACACCAGACTTCAGGTGACCTTATTTCCCCATTCAGATTTCCTTCCTGTTTGAAACACTTTCTACTTCTCCTTTTTATAGTTGTGTCCTCTCTCCTTAAACTCTGTTTCCTTCACTCGTCTTCTCCATCCCACAATCTGTATATATCAACCTCACTTCTCCCCTTTTTACTGCACTCATCATCTCTTCCTAATCTCTCCTTTTAATAAATCCCCCAGGATGCTGAGGCATTGGTCCTGTCAGGAATGGACTTGCCAATAATGGTGGGACTCACCTGCCTTGTGGGCTGCAGTACCAGGGCTGGCCAGCGGGTGCTCTCAGCAATCAGAGACTCACCCCTGCAATCAGCCAAACACCTGAAGCTGACTGCAGGGGTTGTATTTAAGGAATGGCCAGACTCACAGTCAGGGCCTTGGTGTGTGTTTTTCCATGGGCCCCTGTACCTTGTATCCTGTATTCCTGTTCCTGTCTGACTTGTTGCCCACACTGCCTGATCCACCCAACCTGGCACGGCCGTCTAGCAGCCTCATTCTGCCGTCGGCCAGGTCCTCTGTTTCCTTCACTCGTCTTCTCCATCCTGATCTCTGCTGACTTCTCCTGCTTGATCTCTGGCTTGTGATCCTGACCATTCTCTGCCCGACCCTCTGTACCGCGCTGCCCGTGAGTTACTGAACCCAGCTTGTGACCCCGACCACTCTCCCGCCTCTTCCTGGTACTCCGTTTGCCCGTTTGCTACTGACCCGGCCTGCCTGACTACTCTTTGTATTGTATGTATTGTTATCGGTGGGTGGTTTAGTTGGGTTTGTTTGCACTGTGTTTATGTTTAGTTTTGCACTGCGTTTTGTATTGTTAGTCTTAATAAATTATATTGTTTATACCATATCCGAAGCCTGCGTTTCCCTGTGTCAGTCCACACACCTCTGGTCATACCTGGAGCCCTGACAGGTCCTCATAAAAAGCACACTCTCATATTACCTCCCTCACCCTTCTTCTTTCAAAACCCTGGGCCGCCTCTATTTAACTGTAACCAACGCACCCATCATCCTGTACCCTCTAGCATCAGCCTCAATCCACACAATTTAGTTTCTTTTCCTCTTCTTCCCAAAACCAAAGGCACAAGGGAGGTGGAGTGGGAATTCTCCTATCCCTACAGAGCACCTTTCAAGTTCTTCACTCTCCTCTCTCTCTGTCCTTCTCATTGTTTATAGCTCACTGTATATGTCTATTTTCTCCAATTTCTTTAAAAATTACTGTGATCTACCTGCCCCCAGGACCAGTGTCAACATTCCTTGATGACTTCTTTGCTTAGCTACCCTACTTTTTCTCTTCTGAAATTCCCAAAATCATTCTCAGTGACTTCAACATCCCTGTTAATGCTAACACTCCTACTACTTCTAAACTTCTTAGTCTAACCTCCTCAGGGAGGGTTGTTAAGGCCTGTGCCCTCCAACTTGCAGGGGTCTTAACTAATATATTTAACTGATCAGCATAGTTGGCTGTGGTTCCATTCTTTTTAAAAATCTGATGTTATTACTCACATACCAAAAAAGCAAACATAAATAGCTTGAAAAAACTATAGGCCGATTGCGCTAGATCCCTTGCTCAAAAAAAAAAAAACAAAAACAACTACAATTGCAGATTGCCATGTACAGCTTGATTCAAAATTGCTGTGTGATGATCTTCACAATGACATGGCTTCACAATTCCATTTGAGATACTGCTATGCAATTACCTGGAAGGACTTTTCACCGACAGGACAGAATATTGGACTCGTAGAGGAGAATAGGGGCGGGAGCTATGCATTTACGTTTTGAATGCACGGTGGTCAGACAGCAGGATTGTGGACAATCACTGTTCTCTAGATGTAGAATTTTTGGTTGTAAAATGTAGACTCTTTTACTTGCCAAAGGAATTCACAGTAGTATTTGTCCTTGTGGTATACATACTACCGAATGCGAATGCTGCTGCAATGTTGGATACTATGGCAAGAGTGATAGGTAAACTCCAGTGTGCACATCCTGACGGGGTGCTTGTGATTGTGACTTAAACCATGTATATTTGAGGTCCCAAGTTCAAGGATTCCATCAATTTGTGAGGTGTGCGACTAAGGGTGCTAATACATTGTATATGGTATACTCCATACAGAAGCATACAGAGATGTTCCTGTCAGATCATCTATCCCTCTTTCCCATTAGACTGCACACTCCAATTAAGCAGAGAATTGTTCCAGAAAGCAAGGAAATAAGGATTTGGCCAGCTGGCTCTTGAGAAGTTTCCTTAAAGCAGAACTGAAGACCTGCAATAAGAAGCTGTTAAGTATTAAGAGTTTTTTGGGTTTTTTTCAAAGTCTTTTTTGCCCCAAAACATTTCCCCCGGCTGTACGCTGCACAGTACAGTCCCGTCATTTCCAGCATCTGTAAGAGGAATGGAGATAGTTGTTGGGAACAATGTAACACCTGTGTTCTTGTACAGAAGTTGCATCATCAGTGGCTACCCAGTGGTGAAAAAGGATCATCTTGAAATCCAGAAGTAGTAGCGGATGAAAATGGCAGGGACAATGGACGGGGCGGTAACTGGAGCCTGGACCATTTATTGCAGGTGTAAGGCATTATGTGACCTACATGTGCCATAATATGCACGTATACGGTGCACATTATGGAAAGAGCCAATCCATTACCCAGCAGACTTTAGTTCCACTTTAAATCTTTAAAACTATATGCCAGAAGACCACACAGGCAATAAATCATTATCTGGGTGATAACTTTGATTGCTGGGATAGCTTAGGTATCGATAATGTTCTTTGATCAAACCATCCCATGGAAAATCTGCAACCTCTATTGCTGCAACAGTGGAAATACTGATGGACCTGACAGCATACTGACAGAAAGCAGAAATAGGATTTTACCTTTACCCCACATTCGTAAACACAAACACATTTGACTTTACATGCACTTTTGGCTTTTTTAACATTGAATAAAAAGTCCAAATTAGGACTTCTGAGTTTTCTAAAACTTTCCTGAACTTCACACTTGGACTAGGTAAGTGACTAAATAATTTATGTCAAAGAACTGGCATGATAACTTGGTTGCCATGATTACCATTTTAAGTAGTGGTCAGCAATGGTAGCCTATTTGTTTCTGTTATGAAACTTTACTGTCCTGTCCACTAAATCAAATTCCTTTATCACACTCTAAAGTACAGGCGGTTTGAAAAGGCTCAGTGTCTGTTGGCGCCAGGCTGAAATTTGAGAGCTATGCTTTAGGGCTCATTCACATTAGTGGTTGAGGGGGCTGTAAACCCCCATGGTTGAGCTGTGCTTTTACTTGCCCTCAACTGCTATCCCTTTAGCTAAAGAGGCAGTAGCTGGGAGTGTATAGATGCCATGGCCATGATGCTTTGCCTTGTGGCCACAGCAGGAGATGTACCCTGTGTTACTTTCAGCAGATGTAGTGCCTGCCGAACAAGGCCTATTCAAGTGAATGAGGTCACTCTGCAACCGCCCCACAACTGCGTGCAATGCACACAATTGCAGTGTGCTAGGATCAAGGGGTAAAGCACGTGGTAAGGAGGCAATACAACACATCCTCACTGCATGTCAAATGCTCCCTGAAGAGCGATCCAAACATGGGCTGCTGTTCAGAGATCAAAGATAATGTGAATGAGCCCTAAATGTTTTGTTTTCCCCCCTTGAAACAGTTTCCTTGTGCTGAAAGACATGGCTGGTATTGGCATGGGGGGGAGACACGTCATTCATGAAATTTAAGCCACCGGTATAAGATCCTGTATGTTTGGGGTGCTGGTTAGTTTTTTTTGGTGGGCCCAAGGCAAATTTTTTACATTTTACAAAAGTAATACCAATTGTTGCAATTGTTTTGTGGTTGCAACCATTGGTAGCTTAGAGAAAAAAAACAGCTATTTTCTGCTTTCAAGTGTACAAATTCCTGGAGATATTAAAATATGTAATTTAATAAAAGTGTGCTTTGATACCCCTAGACTATATTTTATAATTCTCTCTTTATTTATTTATTTTTTTTAAATATAGATAGACATACATTATAATAAACATATCAAAGATCCAGTAAAATAATTAGCTTCTATGTAAACACACAAAGTAAACTAGTCCCCAACCCCTTCCCCTCCCAATAAACAAAAAAAAGGAGGGAACATCCCCTTGGATCCTATTTTATTCCATTTATACTAACCAAAAAAGAACACATACCCCCTAACTTTTTTCTTTATTCTAGCTATTTTATTACTTTTTATTATTCATTCTCCTTTGCCTAATAGCTCAATCTTTTTTTTTTTTTTTTAACTCCTTAACTACTTGCCTACCTGACACTTTTATCCCCTTCCTGCTCAGGCCAATTTTCAGCTTTCAGCGCTGTTGCACTTTGAATGACAATTGCGCTGTCATGCAACACTGTACCCAAACAAATTTTTTATAATTTTTTGGACACATATAG